TATGTATATATCTCCACAGCCATTTTTATTTGTTGAGACAGGATCTTGCTAAGTCACTGAGTAGCCCAGGCTGGACTCACACTTGCAGTCCCCTCCTCAGCTTCCCAGTGTAAATTACAGGCCTGTGCCACCACAACCAGCAACATATATGTGGGTATATATAAGACAGGCAGACTTGACTTAGCAAGCCTAGCACATCAAAGAGTACAAATAAAATGAAACATTAAATTCTGCTTTTCCAGTCAATACTTCTTATGCACTTAATTAAATAAGCATTTCTTAGAACTGTAGAATTTATAACAAGGCACTGCCATTTTAGAGAAATCCTGGTTTCTGAGTTGAAGTTCTCACACAGTCCTGTATCTCGAGTTTTTCTTTAGTTTCATCTGTCTTCTTGGTTATTCCCTTCCTACTCCCTCCCTCCTCACAAAAAGAAAAAAGGAATAAATTAGGAAGAGTGACAGAGGGGAGGAGAAAAGAGAGAAAGGAACAAAAGGCCAGATTTAAGGGAATAAAATGCTTTCAGAGCTCGGTGGGCTTGACTACATTCATGGCCTTTCTCTTTATTACTCAAAGGTGACGTGGAGATCCTGAGCTTACGTGAACTCCGACTAACTAGTGCACGCATCCTTCAGGCCTTTGCCTTGAGGAGTCCCAGGATGTTCAACTCCACCTCGCAGCCTCCAGACCCACCCTGCTCACAGAACCACCTCATCACTCAGCGGATCATCCCCACGCTGTACTGCGTGATCTTCATCACCGGGCTCCTACTCAGTGGAATGTCAGGATGGATCTTCTTTCACGTGCCCAGCTCAAAGAGCTTCATTGTCTATCTCAAGAACATAGTTGTTGCTGACTTTCTAATGGGCCTGACTTTTCCTTTCAAGATCCTTGATGACTCGGGCCTTGGTCCCTGGCAGCTGCACGTGTTTGTATGCAGGGTCTCTGCCGTGGTCTTCTATGTCAATATGTATGTTAGCATTGTGTTCTTCGGACTCATCAGCTTTGACAGATACTACAAAATTGTAAAGCCCCTTTCTACTTCTTTCATCCAATCAGTGAACTACAGCAAGCTGCTGTCGGTGGTGGTGTGGACGCTCCTGTTCTTGCTCGCTGTCCCCAACATCATCCTGACCAACCAGAGTGTCAGGGACACTACAAAAATACAGTGTATAAAACTGAAAAATGAACTGGGGAAGAAATGGCACAAAGCATCAAGTTATATCTTCGTGGGTATTTTCTGGGTTGTGTTTCTTTTACTAATCATTTTCTACACAGCAATCACAAGGAAAATCTTTAAGTCCCACCTTAAGTCCAGAAGGAACTCCACTTCCGTCAAAAGGAAATCTAGCCGCAATATATTTAGCATCATGTTTGTATTTTTTGTGTGTTTTGTACCCTACCACACTGCCAGAGTCCCCTACACAAAGAGTCAAACTGAAGCTCATTTCACCTGCCAGTCAAAACAACTCTTGCTCTACGTGAAAGAATTCACTCTGCTACTATCTGCTGCAAATGTATGCCTGGACCCTATTATTTATTTCTTTCTATGCCAGCCATTTAGAGAAATTTTATGTAAGAAACTGCATATCTCACTAAAAAACCACGACATGGATACTTCCAAAACCCGAAGAGCAAACACAATTCACGAAAGCACAGGTACTCTGTGACTTCCCACGCACCACCAAGTAAAGTTCAAGCACTGTGACATTCAACATCTTCAACTGCATGAAAAGTAAATGAACAAATAAGACACACAACCATGGATAGGTGCATATCTACCATTATCACCCAATACTGGCATTGAATTTAAAATACTTAGCACAATAAAACGCCAATGCAAGTTTCCATGCTTTTTTGGAGCATCAAGTAAAAAAAAAATCCCATTAGATTTTTCCAGTGCTGCACTTCCATTTCTTTTTAATAAGAAAAGTATAATGCATATAACTGCTCAATCACACTGCAAGAAGCAGGTTTAAATTTATGTTTGTTCATCTAAGTAGAAATTAATAAGTAAACACGAAGAAATCAAAGACAATTTACATAGGTTTCTTCTTCCTCTTAAGACAAGAGTAAAATTAGTAAGATGTAAACTTTTTCAACAGAATCCTTAAAGACCAACTTAAAGGAACCACTATTTGATAAAGGGCTTTTGTATTAAAAAAATCAAATTTTCTCTTATTTGAAGCAGGATAAGCAGATGCCCGGGGGGGGGGGTGGAATCTTTAAAAATATACTGATTAACCTCACTGAATTTCAAAGAGCAGCACATATAATACATTATGTATTTTGCAATAAAAGTTTAATTTTTAAAGATATTAGGTATATGTTAAATATACCTTAGCTGCAGGCTTGTTGAGGCATTTAATACACCTGAAGTTATCACATTAAATTATTTCTAAGGGCGCACTACTGAGAAAGCCTGAGTGTCAGCATGTGTAGCCAGTAATTTCTCCTGCTTGAAAGTATGGAAGGTGGGGGGTGGGAGGAGCTGACTAGGGAGAGATATATATTAGAAAATATATTATTATTTTATGGGGTCAGGAGAGACGGTTTTCTCTGAAACCAGGTAGGCTCAATTTTTTTAAAAAGATCAAAAATGTTAAATAATGTGTGAAATTACACATAAGATTCCTGCATCATGCTTTCTGCAAACCAATGCATTTTAACACACAGTTACCTGCAGTAACCTACAAGAGAGATACAGTTGCTGGCACGAGTTAACAAACTAATTTCTTTCTTTACCCCCTGCTAGCAAGGCATTCAGCCAGTCTTTCAAATGTTCTTCTGACACATTTAAAAATCAAAAAAAAACCAAAAAAAAAAAACCAGGGCCTTGCTATGTAGTGCACACTGGCCTTGAGCTTGCTTCTGTAGCTCAGGCTAGCCTCACACTCATAGTGATCCTCCTGCCTCAGCTTCCGGGAATGCTGTGATTGCAGGCGTACGCCTCTTGACCCGGCTTTCCACACATTTTTAAAGTAACGTGTATCTAGTTTAAGTTTTACTGTACATGTACCAATAAAGAATTATGTTTAATGCTGTCGGCTTTTGTTCCTACTATAGTACTCAATATATGCCACTACCAGACTTCCTTATAGTAAGTATATGGATGGCTTCGATATGCTCAGTTACACACTAATACAAAAACATACAGAAGCTCTACCTCCTACCTACCTCAGAACAGTTTCAGCAAAACTCAGAAAACACACCCGCCACTGAGGAGAGGCTGGGAAGGTCTTCACGCTGGGTAAGTACTTTCTACTCCCCTGACAGCTCCCTGCTCTTAATGCTGGGTCAAACAAATTCAGAAAGAACAAAATTCCCAAGCTATGACAGATATCCTTGATAAACTAAGCTTGCTATATTTACTTGGCTAAATCCACTTGGAAACAAATCTCATTGCTTTTACTCTCTGCAATTCTCTGGCTACAGCAAGTAAGTAAATCAGAGGGTTTGAATTGCCTTTACTGGGACACACGATAAAGTTTTAAAAACTGAGACTTCATGCTCCACTTACACGGTTCATTTCCTCAGCCTCTTTTCCTCTCTTCTCAGCAATAAATATTATTAAGACGTTTCTTTGTTAGAGTCAGTTTTCCCTATAGCACCACACAGCTTGTAAACTCCACGCCAAAGCAGGAGTAGAAACATGAAAACAAAGTATTTCAGGAAACGACGCGCGATGCGGGGAAGGAGGTCATGGAGCAACGGCTGGGTTGGTTGTGAAGTACCGTCGAGTAACAAGCACAGCACACCAGTGCTTTTAGTTCCACAGCAGTAACTATACAAAATGGAAGTCACTGCCAACAACGGAGAAAGCCAGAAACTTCAGACTGATGACAGGCAGTGAGATGTAGGTAGACAACAGAGTGTCTTTTCCAAGTCCTTTGTAGATAATGCTTAGCACAGGTGCTGCAATACCCAGAGTGCCCAGCTCAGCCGACAGCATGCCTGCAGGGCCCGAGGAGGCAACGTGAACACTGTTACAAAAAACACTGAGCACACTGAGCCAAGCACTTTACACCTCGCCAAGAGAGATCAACAGGCCCTTAGCTCCAGCCAATGGCTTCCTTATTCTAACAAGAGTTGAAAATTCACCAAGTTTGTGTTTGTTTTTCTGGTACTAGGAACTGAACCTGGCCTTCCCAATGACCTACATCCCAGCCCTACTTTTTTGGTCTCATGAAGTTACTAAGTTGCCAAGGCTGGGCTCCAACTTGTGATCCTCCTCCTGCCTCAGCTTCCTAGAATGCTAGGGTTATACCATCACTACACCTGGCTACAAAAGCTTTTAACTGCTGGACTAGAAGTTAAAGTGCATCTATAATACAATGTGACATGTCAACAGATGCACTTCAACATCCAGAATATGAAAATGTAATAGAAATATGTTCAAAAGTAGCTTATGCCTACAGCCAAAAATCTTGCTCAGAAACAATCATGTTTTCTTTAAATTGCTGTCCCCATGTGATGCATATTTGATTCAACCACCTATACAAATAAAGTGTCAAAGTATTTGTATAAAAGGAATATTTGGGTTAAAAAGAATTAAGAAACAGATCAGATCACAGAAATATCATAATCATGGAAAATAATTACATATGGCACCTATCACTGAGGGGGTAAACCACGCACAATGGTGTTTTACAAAATGTAGTCACTAGTAGCACCCATCTATGATGTCCTCAACCTATATAATCTTTTCTCAGCAATAGGGTAAAACTTCTTGGGAAAAGCCACTTTTCCATGGGCTGGGCTATATAGGTAATACAAATCTGAGTTAGGTTTTGGTAATCACCCTGTCTGAATCAACTAACCAAAAATCTGGCATGGAATGTGACCCAATTTTACCCAATGAGAAAATTCCAAGGTTCCCAAGACAATTTCTGGAAGGAGCATTGTAAAGATGTAAAATCAAGAAGTTTCTTTCATTTGGATACCACAAGAAGAAAATCTTTAAAAAAAGGAAGAAGAAGAAGAAAATCTAGAGCATCCTAGCTTCTAGTTGAAACTAACACCACGGAAGACAGACAGAAGAAATGCCACAGACCTGAGAGTCTGCCACAACCCTCCCCTAAGGCCACGCCCACACCCGTGGCCAGTAAACAGCTTATTGCCTATGCTTGATTTTAGCTGTACAGGAAAAGGGAGTTTGAGGGGTACCGATAAAGGACAAAGGCTTGATGCAACAGCTTCCTCTAAAGTAGCTACTCAAAGTTTCTACCATCTCTTTAAAAAAAGCCTTGTAATTACAGTAAGCTTTGCTTCCACTTACTGATAGTAAAGCATGTGCCACTGTTTCTGTATGGTATTTTGTCCTTAACCCTATTGCTATCATGTAATCTTTTTACTAATTCTGGATAAAAAAGGAAAAAGAGCCATGCAAAAACCTAACTGCGTTACACTGAAAGATGGTATTACACAGACTGCAAGCCAGGAGAATTACAGGAGACTTTCTTTCAAGTGAGCAACACTGTGACGCTGGCACGGGAGAAAACAGGTTCTGTGTTGTCTTCAACAACAAAAACATACTCCTGCTTTTTAGTCACTTATTCTCTACACAACTCAACAGCACATGGATGACCATTTCTGATGGGACAGACTTGGAAAGGAACCACTTTAATGAAACACAAACTTCCTTTACCACACATCACTTTTCAAAGCGTTATTGAGTACTTCGTACCACTACTTCTACAAAAGTACTGTTTTACCAATTTGTCTATAATAAATGTACACTACAAATATTATTTCTAAGCTAATTACAAAAAAAATTATCACAAGGTGCTTATCACAGCTGTTTGGGATTTACAGGGAACATGAGATGTCTCCACCTCCCCATCTCCACCTGCAGCTGGTGCATGAGGAAGGAGAGGGATGAGGACAAGCCTCCTCACTGAGGAACCTGCGACCCACTCAGGACTCTCTGAAGGTGCGCACTGTTAGAACTCTGTGTATGTGGAGGGTAAGGCTAGTCACACTAGTAGGCTGCTGAGAGAACACATTTACCCTCTCGGTCTACAGCAGGGGTTCACTGCACTTGAGTCAATATGTGAGGAGTGGGCGGTGACTCGGGAAGGTCATCACAGCTGTGACTGTAACCATGGGAGAAGCCACAGAAGCACATGACAGCCATCCACACCACAGGGCCTCTGCACGGCAGCCATCCACACCACAGTGTCTCTCCAGGAATTCCCAAGCACGTATCCCCTCCCAGACACTTGCAGATTTCCTTCACCTCCCCCAAGAGAACTGCAATCATTCCTCAAGTGGCTTCCTGTCTTCCATTTTCCTCTCTTAACCCAATAGTCTCCAAGGCCACCAAATTAACCTACTAACCGAGCTGACTGCTCTTTCCCTGCATAGCCTTTGTAGACTCTACTGCTCACTTCCTGCAGGCCTCAGGAGCACCCATGATTTCAATCTCAGTTTTTTCCTTGCATAGATCCTACTCAAGACAACCCAGGTCCCCAGATTGCCTAACAATCCCCAAACACACTCCCTGTACTCTGCACATCTCTATTGTCTGCCCAACATGCCACATTTAGGCTCAATACATAAAGTATCCTTTGGCCCTGCCACACTAACAAGGATGAAACTTCCTGGATTCCCACAGGTCCTAAGCGCATGAAGTAAATCTATATCACTGCAGTTTAAGGAATAAATTCCATATCACCCTTCATCAACATGCTCTTCAAAAAAATAGTAAAAATTGGGCCAGCTAAATAGCTCAGCAGATTAAAGCGCCTGCAAGCAGGCACAGGGGTTCAATCCTGGGTCTGCCTTGCCAGCCCTGCCCCTGGGACACATTGAGATGGCAATTGAGACTGGGCGTGGTGGTGCATGCCTGTACTGCCAGCACTTGGGAGGCTGTAAACAGGAGAATCACTACGAGTCTGATTTAGAAGTGAGACCCTGAACACCCTGTAGACCTTTCCCTAAAATACAGGGAAAAAAAAAAAAATAGCAAAAATAATCTCTAGAATGGGAGCTTAGGGGGCCTGAATCAGTTAATACTTACATTACAACTTTTCATATATACTTAATCAAAAAGAAAGATTCACAGAGCAAAGATTGAAGGCAAAGAAAGGATTTCTCCCAAGATCCATCTCTTGGAAAGTGACCTCAGAGCTTACAAACTGTGCTTGTGCTTTGAAAATGTGTGAGTCAAAATAAACTTGTCACAAATGAATATAAACAGAAAGGGGAAAAAATGGCATTAATTTCAGTGATTAAAAAAGAAACAAGATCACCTTTGAATATCCTAAGGGATTCTCCCCCCAGCACCATGATTTTTTTTTTTTTTTTTTTTGTATTTTTACAGAAGGATGTACAGAGTGTTCAGGGTCTCACTACGAGATCGAAAAATAGGGGTTGGCAACACTACTGTAACTCATTCATAGCCCAAAAGTATGTAACACCATTTAATTTCAAAGAATTTTAGCCAGAGTTTTCTCATGCTATTAAAGAAATAAAACTGACAGAGCCAGTAGTACCTGGAAGTTGTACATCAATCCTTTACTTCAAAACCATTCTGCTTCATCAAGGAAGCCAGCATCAGGGCAAAGTCTTTGGGCTAATCCAGGAGAAGGAAATTATGTTCTTAACAACCTGTTTCCAAACGCAAATCCAAGCACAGGAGCTCCAAAGAGAGGTCTGACTTTGAGACACATAGGTAGCAGCAAAAGTGAATGGTCATAAAAATCTCCAAGATGTGAAATGCATGAGCTGAGAACACCTGAGTTCTCATTCCAGAGGCTGCAAAGTCCCAAGGAGGGTGGAAACAGTGGCGCACTGTCTCAGGCCATTTAAGTGCAAGTGGTCACAAATACAACAACTGAACAAGACCTACACTGATGCGATGTCCTCCTTTGTAACCCATGTCCCTGTACAACACTTAACCTGCAAAAAAGCGGGCCCAGATGCTGTGCTTGGGGGTGCACACCTGTAATGTACAAATAAGTTAATGAAGCAAGCAAGCAGAGCTGAGCCCCAGGTCAATGGCAATAAGACCACCACCACAAAAAACCAGCTGACACTAAATTTTATCTGCACAGAACTATGCAGGCCTTACCTTCTCCATATCTCAGTTTTGATGGAATCTGTAAATAATGGACTCTCCTAAACCACAGGGTTTATGTTTTTTGTTTCTATGCAAATAAGATCTCAGATCCATGGCTGGCTATGGTTCTACGCATTCCTAGTGCTTACCTTACCCTTCCTCATCAATGTCCCAATTTTTCCAAGTTATGCCAAAAAAACAAATTTTAAGAATGTTAAATAAACATTAAAAGCTAATATTGCTCCTAAAATACTATTGCTTGTCTTTAATAAACTGTGTATGTGTACACACTTCAGAGTTGTTTTCTGTTGTTGTTGTTTTTGGCGGAACCAGAGATGGAACTCAGGCCCTTGCGCTTGCCAGGGAAGCGCTTATTCCACTGAGTCATCTCCCCAGCCCCCTGCAGAGTTGATTGCAGAAGCATTTTCAACTCCTAACTTTCATGAGAATTTAGCATTGTACATACCTAAAATATTTATCAAAGTAACTCCTACATTCTTTGGTAAAAAGTACTGTCCTGAGGAAGCTGAGTAGGAAGTAACATTATCTCACTTCTTCCCGCTGGGTTTTCTCGACATCGGGTTAGTGACAATGTGCAATTTCCTGGAATGCTAACAAAATGCACTCTGAAAATCATTCATCTTCAGCAAAACAGATAAAAAATATGGCTTAAGGAAATTCATATGGAACTTGCACATTACATATTACTAAAGATATTAAGAGAAAAATATATTTCCAATGTGAATAAGCTTCCACACGATGCCACGTTACCTAAGCTCAGGCTCAAAAGGAAGAATACGATTCAGTTTCACTATTAGAAGATCAGTTCCTACTATTTCAGGGGAAAAAGAGAGCAGCAGCACAGAACTGGAGCACCTTGGCTCTTGCTTTTGGGCCACACGGACGCAGACCGTGGTCTTCATGCACCTTCAAGTAACTGTAAAGAATGAGTCAGAGCTGCGAACACACAAGCGTGCCTACCTAAAGCAAAAGAAACACTTTGCTGCAAGCCTGTTATCCCAGTTTTTCTTCATAATCACATTTAAACCACTCACCAGTCTGAAGCCAACTCCAGTCTAAATTCCCTGCCCTAAGGATTCAAACACTGCCCACAGCTGCTCATTTACTTGGCTACAAACCTGTCTCTTCTACAACTATACCCAATAAATCCTGTCCATAATAAAACACACATATTTTAAAAAATGGAAAAACTTCCTAGCACTGTTACAATGGAAGCTAACACTGGGGTCCATAACCAAGCCACTAGAACACTTGTGCATGTAGTAATGACTACACGAGCTTGGGAGAACGCCAGAATTGCTAAAATCAATGGCCATGTGAGTGTGAGCAGCCTCACCATTTTTTATTAAAAACTAACTTTCCTTAATTTCCTCAAGCTAGACATTTCTCATTTAGTCTTTTGAGAACTTCTGCTAAACCCTAATATGAAGGAATTTGTTTCAGATTCTGAACAGGTCACTTCTGATATTCTATTGTCTAGAAAACTAAAAACTCATTATTAGGAGAAAAAGGGAGAAACCAAAACACCTATGCCAGTTAAGCACTGGAAGACACTAGACCCTAACCAAATGGAGACAGCTTCCTATTTACAAATCAGCTTTTGACCAGCATATCTAGAACTCCAGAAAATGTACTTGTCAAAAGCTCATCTCCTCTTTCATAAAGACAAAGACATTAAAAAGCCAATGGATGATATGTATAAGGTTACTTTTTAAGAGGTAGGAACTCTTTATCAAGTTTCCCTAAGCTTCTTTGAGACACAGTTAACATTTTTTCATGTGGGCAGAACAAACATTTAAACAAATAATTTAAAATACAGGAGAGGAACCCTTTACATAAACTCAATTAATTGCCACGTATCTGTCTCAATTCATTAACCACTTACCAGCCCAATTATTTAAATACAAGATTAACAAATATTGCATAATTTTTCACTGATTTTTATAACAGAAAATATCAAAATGAAAACTTAACCAAATTAATTCAATACAAGAATTAACTGGCTGACATGACACCTGCCCAAGAAATACTTGGGATGGTCAGTACTGAAACAAACATGGTGCCCAAGTCACATGCACGGTGAACTGTGGAGGGCTGGCCAAATAGCTCAGCAGATTAAGGTACTTACAAGCAGGTGCAGGGGCCTGGGGCTTGATGCCCAGGCCTGCCATGCCAGCCCTGCCCCCAGGGCGCACTGAGACGGCACTTGAGACTGGGCGTGGTAGTGCACGCCTCTAATCCCAGCATTTAAGAGGCTGCAAACAGAATCACTATGAGTCCAGTACTATGAGTCCATCTCATAGTGAGACCCTGAACACCCTGTAGACCCTTCCCTAAAACACAGGAAAAAAAAAAAAAACAAATAAATAAATAAAAGAACTGTGAAAGGCTGATATCACTATGTACACTGAAGGAATACTCGCTTAAACATATTATACCTCTAACTCATAATCCCTTTCAAGATGTAAACACTGATATTCTTTGAAACTGTTCACAAAGGTGTCCGGGGTACCTCAAAAGAGAAAAATAGGTAAAACAATGGACAAACGAAGATCTTTTCTCTAAATACCACTGACAAATTTGGACTGCTTAAGTAACTATAACCAAGGGTTAGTTTTAAGGTTTCATGGGAAGACCTTCACACAGGTAAAACTAGTCACAAACCACAGTTTCATCTACGTCAACATGCAACATTCTAAAACCACACAAAAGGAAAGAACACTTCTAGTACGGCAAGCAGCTCTGCTCTGCTGTGCTGCCACTAGCCCAACAGCTCCGGCTCACCTGATGACAGGCTCAGGCCTTGCAGGAAACAGAAGAAACCCAAGGTATGTCATTTTCAATATTTAATCTACTCCAAATGCTTTTTCATATGTGGCAAATGTACAGCTTTTCAATGTTTAAGTAAAAAAGGCCAACATTTAACAGCAGCTGCTGTGTGAAGTAGGCAGCAGTTATTAGATGGGTCCTACACATGAGCTACTCTCTAATTTTCTGTTATCTGATGACCGCATCCATCTGGATAAAAACCAATGTTGTAGTTCTTCACAAAAGGTCTTAAAATATGTCCCCCCACAAGTATTACAACATGTAATTTCAAAAATTCCCATAATGCCTCTGACAAAATTTGATGAGCCTTTTCTAAGCAATGGGCACTCTTGAATAAGTAAAAAGACAAAGTGTTTCCTTGATTTTCTTGGAGCCCCTCTGAATACATCAAATTTCCACTGGCCTATAATGGCTGGCAAAAATCAAGCCTTAATTATCACATTTGAAATTCAAATCATGGGCTATTACAACAGTATAAGTTAACCTTAAATGATATCACCATCACCAAGAATTTTAAATTATTTTTCACTGCAATCTTGATAGAAATTCACAAAAGGTAACTGTGATACAACCATGGTAATCAAGCACTACTGAAAGAATTGCTATATCATAATTAACATAAGTTATTTACCAATAGATACATAAATAGCTCTGATTTATGGAGAATATTATTCAAAACAAAGCATTCTATTTCTTCTCTGTGCTATGTAAGTCTTATGTGACTTTACCACATAATTGTGCAAGCAACAGGGCATTTGAAGAAATACATTATGAGATTACTACCATTATGCAAATTTGAAATAAATGTGCCTAAGTCAAAATCCTATAAAAGAACAACAGGCAAAGGTGAGAGACAAGATCATTGTAAAATGACATGTCTTTGACACAAAGAAAAGCATGCTCAGAATTCCAGGACACAAACAAACGTACCTATCAAAAATAAGGGTCATGCGGAAGTCAGTGAGGCCTAATGTAACAGATAAAAGCCTTCTTTCAGGGGACCAACAGGCCCTGGTCCTGCTTGAACAAGATGCAGGATCCCAAGCAACACACAACTGCAAGACCTCAGCCTCCTTGGAGTATAGGGCAGAAGCCCTCAGCAAAGACTCCACTCATCATTAAAGTCCGAAGAATACAAAAGTTCATCACATATAAAAACACAAAGGCAGGAAGGAACTGTTCACTGACAATAGAGAGCTCACCAATCTAAAGCCGAGAACTGGCATTAAGGATGGAGTGGGGCGGGCTGGGTGGTAGATCACATGCTTAGCATGTATATGAATCAATCCCTAGCTACCAAAGGGAGAAAGATTAACACTATGAAAAAACTATGGTATGAAAACTCTGAAATCAAAGTCTAAATTGATAGAATATGACCTAAGTTTAACAAGTTTAGCAGATGCTTGCTCAGAACTAATACCTATCACAGAATGATCCCCGGCTATAAAATTCTCATTATGAGTCATTATCACCTTTATTGTTGCTGAGACAGTGTTTTGGAGTGATTTCAAATGTGGCTTCAAAAATCAAACTGTCAAAATCTGCGTTCTATGACTTATCAACTGTACAATCAATCTACTGTTGCTATGCTTGTTTTCTCATTTGCAAAAGACAAGTTATAATAAATATCTCAAAGGAACAATAGCAGGTTAAAAAAATTTGTCACTGGACACAAAGTGTGTAACCAGTTTTTACTGAGTTTGGTACAGAATGGCATTCTTTATGGACCCTAATGCACTAAATCAAGTAGGGAAAGGTATGTGCCCTCTAAGTGAGATTTTAATTTAGAAACTTCGTGTGTATCTGCTTTAATAATGTGCTTACATATATTCATTCCAAGAATAAATAACTGTAGGAATAAAAGATTTTAAAAGACTTCTGTGTTTTTAAGAGACTTAATGTTTATTACGGTCTTCTATGTCAGACACTCAAGAAAGGTGCTTGATGTGTAAAAAGAGGACCTACAGCAAGACAGAATCCCAGAAGACTGGGATTCAGTTTAACCTGAGCTTATAACTTTACTCGGTTTTCCAGACTGAAAAGGTGCATGATGAGATTTTATTGTCAATGTCATGTCCATCACAGTGATCAAAGGAATGTCTTATATTTCTGGCCTCTTGACTGTCTGAAAACCCACAATGAAAGAAAGAATGTAAATATTAGTTAGATGTTTTCATATTAATAGAATGCAGTCTAAGGATTTTATAACCAATGAATCTATATCCAACCATATACTAGAAACTTTCAAAACATACTTTTCACAAAACTGTTCTGAAACAATTCCATGAAAACATCTATACCAATATTGATCAATACCAACCTAATCAACACACAAAAAACATTTGAAGTTGCCCTGCATTTAAAACAAAAGAAAAAGAAAATGAAACCAGGGACCCTAAGATAGCTCAGCAGACTATGTGCCTGCTTAAGCAAGTGCAGAGACCAGGGTTTGATCCCTGGCACCACATACTGTGCTGGCCCCGCCCCCCATACACGCTGAGCTGGCCACAGAGATCACATAAAAAGATGAAAAAGAAACAAGAAAATGTAATTTTCTTAAAATACTGAGCTTAATATACCAAAAATACTATCAACGTATGCTTAATATAAAAATATAAGATATTATAGTTCACTAATATCATATGATTTACCTAAAATATTAGTTTACTAGTATATGATTTACATAAAATAGTATAATTTATACCTCCTGAATGATACTATATTTTGAACTAAACCCTCAAAATCCAATGTATATTCTACATTTATAGGACCTGTCAACTTGGCCTGCTTTAAAGTATTTAATAGCCGCACACAACTAGAGGCCACAGTATTAGACATCACAGGTCTATACCACTATGAAACTGGAGCAAGGAAAAAGGAGGTAGTAAGACCAACTCATGACCATACTGCAATCCTCCAACTATTTCTGCTAAAGGAAATATGAAATAAAATCTTGTTTCTGAAAAGTGATGTCATAGGTCACACAATAAAGCGACTACGTTTTAAAGCACATTTTCAATCTGACTACAGTCTGCTGTCTTCCCTGTCAGCCCACCTCTTCCTGGACGAGGACCTACATGACTAAAAAGAAAACCATAAAGTCTCTCTGAGTGATGTTCAGGCACAATCCTAACATTAGTTTCCTGGACCTACTTCTTGATGTCCTCCTTCACTTACCTCTTCCGTAAACTACCTTCCCACCCAACTGCCTAAAGAAGAGGTATCACACTGTAAAACCAATAAAGGCAAAATATCCCTTCCAACAACAAATTATACAGGACTCCTTGAAAGTCAAAAAAAAAAACCCTCAAACGAGGAAAATTCAAGCATTCCTTTTAATTTAGGATGTCCCAAACAGTCCACTATCTTGTAGTATCAATAAAATTCCACCCCAAACTAGAAAGACCACAGTATCGTTAGTCCAAATGTTTTTAAAACAAAGTCTTTAACTGTAAGTACTAACCTCTCTTTTTCTTAAAAAAAACCCAAAAAACAGATTCATTGAATTTTTTTAAAAAATTGAAGTCATCCTTCCTTCCGGTACCTCAAGATGGCAAACATTTCACCGTTCTGTCCAGTTTACAGAGATCTGGAGCCATTCACATATTTTTTTTACTTAGTTTTCCTTGTTGGAATTATTGGAAGCTGTTTTGCAACCTGGGCCTTTATACAGAGAGCTTCACACCACAGGTGTGCAAGCATATACTTAATTAACCTGCTCGTGGCCGATCTCCTGCTCACCCTGGCACTGCCCGTGAAAATCACTGTTGATTTGGGAGTAGCTCCCTGGAAGCTGAAGATATTCCACTGCCAGGTCACAGCATGCCTTATATACATCAATATGTACATATCGATTATATTCTTGGCATTTGTCAGCATTGATCGTTGTCTTCAGTTGACACGCAGCTACAAAATCTACCGAATACAAGAGCCTGGATTTGCCAAAATGTTGTCAACTGTTGTGTGGCTTATGGTCCTTCTTCTAATGGTCCCAAACATGGCAATTCCCATCAGAGACATCAAGGAAAAGTCAAATGTGGGGTGTATGGAATTTAAAAATGAGTTTGGAAGAAACTGGCATTTGCTGACAAATTTCATATGTATAGCAATATTTTTAAATTTCTCCGCCCTTATTTTAATATCCAACTGCCTCGTCATTCGACAACTCTACAGAAACAAAGACAATGAAAACTATCCAAATGTGAGAAAAGCTCTCATCAACATACTGCTAGTGACAACTGGCTACATCATTTGCTTCGTTCCTTACCACGCTGTCCGCATCCCATACACCCTCAGCCAGACAGAAGTCATATCTGACTGCACCACCAAGATTTCACTCTTTAAAGCTAAGGAGGCCACACTGCTCCTGGCTGTGTCCAACCTGTGTTTAGATCCTATTCTGTACTATCATCTCTCCAAAGCATTCCGCCTAAAGGTCACAGAGACATTTGCCTCACCTACGGAGATGAAGGCTCAGAAAGGAAAGTCAAGTTATGAAAGTGAGGCATAATAGAGCAGGACTTTCTATGCTCACTTCCTGCCTTACTGGATCACAAAGTTTCTTATAGTTTTGCAAGAGATAAATAAAGTACTGATAATTAAAAGTACAGAAAGTCAGCAAATGTGGACTAGTTTACACAGAAACCTAGTATCTAAATGCAAACCAATCTTACGTTTTTATGACTGTTGATACCTATCCCAAATGTTGGTACAAGAAAACTGCAAAGTCAAGCCCTGTAATATCTTTTTTTATAAAGGTTTATAACAGATTTTAAATGTTTGGAATTGAATTATTGATAAAAATATGGAAACTGTATGTCCTAATATGTAATTTGCCAATAAGCCCTTGAATCACATAAAAGGCTTTTAGTAAATACATCACTTCAAGAAATAGCAATTCATCTGTTCGGTAGCCCTCCAATTTTTTTTTTTTTTAATTACCTTATGTATTTGGTATGGGGTCTCGCTACGCAGCCTGGACTCATAGTGATCTTCCTGTCTCAGCCTCCCAGTGCTGGGATTACAAGTGTGTGTCACCATGCCCAGTTTTGGTGGCTGGCTCAGCATGGGGCTAGCATGGCATGCAGTACCAAGAACTGAACCCAGGCCCTTGTGCTTGCTAGGCAGGCGCTTAGACTGCTGAGCTATCTCCCCAACCCAACAAATGTTTTTTTCTAACATAACAGATAAAAACTAATAACTAAAAGCTGAAAAATGCATAGATAAATTTTTAGTGTAACTACTATTCTCCCTCTCCACATTATGAAGTTTTCCTGCTGTGAGTAATGTAAATCTACTGGTTTCTTTTATTTCATGCTCATATGAAGTACACGGGCCCTATTACATTTACAAAGGGAGTTCTTAAGTGATGCTAATTACCAACAGTACTGTTTTGGAACTAGAAATTCACACAAAAGGTATGGGACACAGCACCAGGCAAATGATGGTAAGACAGATGCACAAGACTCATCTTAGCAAGGCCATATAAGGAAGAGAGCCCATGCTGAACTGAGGTGCTGCCTGGGCCCAGAAAGCAGAGCCTGAATGTGTGGAGGGTGCCGTGTAATGCAGATGGACTCCAGCTCTTCTGATCACAACTCTGGTCAAATTTATTTATTTATTTTTGAACCTTTGATAAATCCCCTTTTGTTCTCAGCCTGCGGTGATACAGGTAGGATTCAGTACTTGATAAAAATTACTTGCTAGGAAGTGGGTTAGAAAAGTTACGCATACCTGAGACTGTTGTTAGTGTCATTAGGAAAAACTTCCACTGAAATACTGGGTGATATATTTTTATTAGCTGCAATGATTAAGAAATTATGTTCCTAGAAGTCAAGAAAACAAATTTGATCTGAAACTTCTTTTTGGATTTGAAGAATGATTTTTTTCCTTTTGCTTTTCCTTCCTTTTTTTCTTTTTCTCTTTTTTAGACACTGTTTTCTATATAGTCCAGGCTAGCCTCGAACTTGTAACGACCCTCCTACCTCAACATCCCAGGTGCTGGGATTATAGATGTGGGTCACCACAGCTGGCTAAGAATTACTTTCTGAAACTTGAAATCTTTGCCTATAATTTCACCAATGTATTTGCTCTCTGAGTATGAAGTGAATAGTATATTTAAAAATGCACAAATAGCCTATAAATATTTATAAAGCTAGGACTGACAAATTCTAGGTAGATGATAGTAATGACCACATATCCGCACCACAAATCTGACACGGTGTACATACATGACTCCTGAAGTCACAGGTCTATAAACTGGAACCAGTACTTGTTGATAGACTAAATAATGAATCTTACTGGTGAATAGATTAAGTCATTATTCAAATAATAGCATACATAAATGTATTTATTTTTGAACCTTTGATCAATCCCCTTTTGTTCTCAGCCCTTAGTTTTTACTTACTCATTAACACACTACACAGTAGAGTCAGGAAGAGCTAAATGTTTTCAACATATTCCTATATTCTCCTCACAGCCATGAGAGCTTAGTCATATTTCCTCTTTCTACTGAGGTTGAAAGCCAGACTCCGGGGCTGGAGAGATGGCTCAGTGGTCTAAAGCACCTACTTAGAACAAGCTTGGCAAAAGCATCAGGGACCGCGGTTC